CCATCGGGAAGGCGCACACCGGGCCGCTGGCTGGCTGTCCGTCAGCGTGTCCTTGCCCCTGGCCGGCCAGGGCGTCCTTATTTTCCTTTGGATTTTACGGTCGAGTGGATGTGTTGCAGTTTGTGTTGTTTTTCCACGGAGGCTTTTATTTGCACGTCTGCCTTCCGCCCCCAGGGAAAGAACCCCAGGCCTTTCCCTCCTGTGTGTGTGTGTTCCTCTCGCTCTTCATGGCCCGCGATGCCCGAGGGGCTGTCTCGGGGACGTGCTCCCCGCACCCCCATGCCACTCCCTCGGGGCTCATGGGGCAGGCGGGGGGCTCATGAGAAGGCCCGTGTCCCCTGTCCTGGCGCAGGTGGCGGCTCCGCGCTCCTGGCCGTAGCTCCCAGCTCCTGGGAGCAGAGTGGGAGGTTTGCCTCTGCCCCTTTGGTCGTGACGTCATCCCGGACAGCGACGTGCCTCGAGGGTGGGCAGTGTGGTCCGATTTGACAGGTGGTTATACTTGTCGAGTTCTTTCTCTGTGGCTGTGCAGCGGCACCGGGAGGGGCTGCGGGGGTTGGGGGGAGAGGCAGGACCAGGGAGCCCAAGGAGACGACGGATCCTGGGTTGTGTGTGGGGAACAAGAAGGTGAAGGAGAGCAGCGAGGGGGGCAGAGGTCAGGACGTGCCTGTGGCAGGAGGGACGGACATGTGCCAAGGAGCATGTGGCATGTCGGCCGCTCGGACCGCGGGGGCTGCGGGGTCAGGCACATGGGGGTGGGGTAGGCAGAGGCGTTGGGGGGCTTTGAGAGCCTGGAGATGCCGTTTTTCCTGGGATTGCAAGCCAGGGCCCCTTCCGTGGGAAGCACCTTCCTCCCGAGGGAGGGTGTGGAGCTGGCGGAGCCCCCACGGGGAGAGCAAGCGTGCGGCTGGGAGCTCGGCCTTGTTCTCCGGGAAGGTTGGAAGCGGCCGTGTTGTGTTTCTGTGTAAATTGCTCACAACAGTGCGGTGTTTGCGAGGGGGTAAGGCGCAAGCGAACACGCGTAAGTGGACCTGAGGCACCCACCGGGCTGCGCTTTTGTAGGAACAGTTGTGCCGTGGCTGGCGGCGGGTCCAAACACAAACACTCGTATCCGGGAGGCAGCGGCCCCTGATGTTGAGCGTCTCTGTCCCCACGCCCTCACCTGTCCTCCCAGGCCTGCCCTGGGCGCCCCTCTTCCCTGAGGGTTCCGGGGCCACTCCCCCCAGCGTCACCCTCGCCAGCTCTGGGCTCTAGAATACATTTCTGTGGAGCTGCTGGGACTGTTGACTCTCCGTGTCCGTCTTACTTGGGGACATGTCACCCTGACCTGGTATGGAGGCAGCCTACAGGGACAGGTAGCACGTCTTACGCGTCTGCATGTGCCCACAGGGCTGTGCAAAGAGGAGGGGCTTGTGGAAGTCCTAAACCAGTGACTGGCCCTGCAGTAATCACCAAAAATAGATGTTAGCCCTGGCCAGTTTGGCTCAGTGGTTGGAGCGTCGGCACAAGGATCAAAGCGTTGCAAGTTCAATTCCAATCAAGGGCACGTACCTTGGGTGCAGACTGGATCCCCAGCCCAGGGTCAGGGCACATGCAGGAGGCAACCAATCGATGTTTCTCTTTGCCGCCCCCCCCCCCACACACACACACACAAACATACTCTCTCAAAATCAATGGAGAAATATCCTCGGGTGAGGATTAACGCTCACACAAATACCTTTTATTCCCCGTTAGTGGCGTGGTTCCGTGTGTGTGCAGGGGGCTGTTCACGGTTGGCTGAGGTCTGCCCACCACCCCTTACTTGGCGCGGTTCCCTCACCCACGTGACCACTCCAGCAAAGACACCGGCTCTGCAGAAAACCTCAGGCCGAGATCTGGACAGCCAGAGAGCACCGAGCGGTGTGTCGCCTCGGTCCCGCTCGGGCCACGTGGAGGTCGCGTGGCTGGCGCGAGTCTCAGTGAGGTTCTGGTATCTCGAGGGGGACTCGCTGACGGCCGTCTCGGTGTTGAGAATGTGCGGCTTCCCTCGGCAGCACTCCTTCTTCTGCCGGCTGACGGAAGACAAGAAGTCGGAGCGATTCTTCAAGGTCTTCTACGACCGCATGAAGGTGGCCCAGCAGGAAATCAAGGCCACGGTGACGGTGAACACGAGCGACTTGGGAAACAAGAAGAAAGACGAGGAGACGGACCGGGACGCCCCTTCCCGGAAGAAAGGTAAATGCCCCCCTCCCCCGGCCCCCGCCTCCCCGCAGCTCTCAGTCAGCCGGTCTGTGCAGCTCGAGGGCGGCCCTTCTCCCCTGTAGTTCTCCCGCGGCCTCGAGACTCAGGCCGTACGCGGACTGGGCTTTCGGAAGCAGAAGGCGGATCCAGCGATGACATGGTTCTTCCCGCGCGACCCGTGCCCCCCAGCGGAATTCCTGCCGCTGGGGAGGCCCTTCTTGTGTAACAAACCCACAGACGTGCTTCTGGGTCAGGCTCCAGGTGTTACTGGCGGGAAATCCATTAATGATCCCTTTCTGTAACTTTCCATTTCACGTTCGGGAAGGCGGAGGACAGTGGAGGAAGATGCACCTTTAGGACCGGCGCACCATCTCTCGCAGGCGACTCCCCCTTGTTTTCTGAGTTACCTGCGTGTGTCGGAAGCGTTTTGTCCATCCCCTCAGTTAAAGGAAAGGAACACCTGGGGGAGGGGGGACCCCAGTGTTGAGCCGATGGCCGTGAGCAGGTTAGCGAGCCCCTCGGGCCTTGCTTTTCGGGTCACGACTGGGTTCGCAGCCACAGACATCGGCCTCTGGGGGCTTGTTGCTGTCGGGCGGCGCCGTGCGTTGCGGGATGTTCAGCCGCAGATGCCGGCAGCCCACCCCACCCCCAACCGCAATGTCTCTCGATGCTGCAAACTGTCCCCCCGCTGGGACGAGGGCAAGGTCACCCCCGTGATCACCGCTGGTCTAGAACGGGGAGAGAGAGGAAAGGACGGCTCCTGAGTGCTCCTGGGACCGGGCACCATTCAGTGCTTCACACATCACTTGTCAGAACCCCAGCCAACCCTATAGAATGGGTAAAATTGTCCCCATTTTACAGATGAGGAAACTGAGGCCGAGGCCTGGATCCGGAGCCTGGCAGCCTGTAGTCAGGCCGTCCTCTCACACGCGCAAGCGTGGATGAGGTCGGAGCACGAGCGGGCTGGCACACCCGGCTCCGTTCCCATCCTTCCTGGGGGCGAGAGAAGGCGTGCTCCTTGGAGGGTTTGGCCGCCGTGAGGACCCAGGGGTCCAAGGGCTGCGTCCTGGGCATGCGCAGCGCTGATGGGCTCCCATTTGCCTCGCAGCCAAAGAGCCCTCGACGCAGATCACGGAGGAGGCCCGCGACCAGCTCCTGGAGGCCTCGGCTGCCACCAGGAAGGCCTTCACCGCCTTCCGGAGAGAGGCCGACCCCGACGACCACTACCAGTCCGGGGAGGGCGCGCAGGCCGCGGCCGACAAGCCCAAGGACGAGCTGGAGATGAGCGCAGTCATCACCATCATGCAGCCCATCCTGCGCTTCCTGCAGCTGCTGTGCGAGAACCACAACCGGGACCTGCAGGTGAGGCCGGAGGCAGGGGGCCCAGGGGCGGGTGAGGCCTGGGACCTGCAGGTGAGGTCTGGGGTGGGGAGGCCGGGGTGGAAAGGCCTGGGGGCAGGTGAGGCCTGGGGACATGGCCGCTTGGCACGCCAGACATTCAGCTCCTGCCCCCAGCCAGGGTCCTTGCTGGGAGGGTTCTGTGTCTGGGTGGTGACATGGTTCTGTCTGTCCTCCCCACCATCCCCCCTGGGACAGGGAGCATCCCTCGCCCTTGCTCTCTGCAGAGTTCAGTGTGTGTATCTGGGACCTGCCTGTGTGCGGTGTAATAGGTGCACAGAGGGCACATGGGTGGGTGGGTGGCTGGATGGATGGGTGGAGGACATACCAGACTTACAAAACCCGCTGCTTAGAGAGCCCTGTTTGCTGGGTGAGTGCGTGAGTGAGTGGGGTCCGGGATTTGCCCAGATCAGCGCTCAGCAGCATCGGTTGAACCGATCATTGCAGAAGTCCTTTGCTCCCTCGTCTGCTGTCGTGCGAAGGTCGCGGGGCCCAGGGCGCTTGGCACGTCCGGCGCTGTGTCGCCTCTGCTGCGACACTCCTCTCCAGAGGAGGGGCTGAGTTCGGGGACACAGGCGGGCATGCAGAGCTGGGCCTCGGACCCAGGCTGCCCGCCGGCAGGGCCTGAGCGCTCCCTTGCACTGTCCCCGCCAGCAAAGGCTCCTGGGAAGGCCATGGTGGGCCCCGGGGCGCCCCTGCTCCTGCTGACAGCACTCACCAGGCTTGGCGGTGCCCCGGGTGCTGCTGGCTCCCGGGAAACAGCCCTGTCCACCCAAAGGGGTGAGGATGGGCAGGAAAAGGAGCTGGACGGCTCCTCCTGAAGCAGCCAGGTGGGCGGTGGCGCCTGTGTTCTTAGGTACGGAGGGCGTGGACAGGAAGTGAGCCCTGTGCAGACGGCACGGGGTGGGCCCTTGGAAAGCAGCCACCTTAGCACAGCCCACCTGCCCCAGGTAGTCCGCCCCCCACTCCCCCCCCAGGCCTGGACGGTGGCTCCGGTTTGGTCTCGTTCGGAGGCAGAGCGTGAGGCGCTGAGGTCCAGGGGTTTGGGGCGGGGGCGGGGGGAGTTTAATGATGAGTCAAGCATCCAGCTGGGGTGCCAGCTTTAACGCGGGCCTTTACCGACATTCTAATTGTTCAAGGAATGAGTGCGTGAGTGTATAAAGGTTCAGGCGAAAGCAAGTATTAACTTAGAAGGAACGGTCCCTCTCCCCGTTCCCGCCCCTCCACCCGGAGACACGTCGTGGGTGTGGGCTGTGGCCTGCAGGCCGGAGCGTTGGGGACACATTCATCTCTGCCTTCGGGCTTTGACTCAAGTATATCCTAGAGGTCTTTCCGTCCGGCCCACGTGGACCTGCATCCGGTCTCTGTGTGTCCCTCAGTGATGTGGACACAGTGTAGCTGCTCCCGGCTGCAGGGCACTCGGGTTGCTTCCGGTCCTTCCCTGTGACCGGAGGCCAGTGTTTCTTCGAATGTGATCACTAGGTCAGCGGTTGCAGTCACCTTATCTCTTGATTGTGCCTCTCTGTAGCCCCCATTTCCTGCATAAGCACACGGAACTGTCCTAGCTTCGAGCAAAGGAATACTTGTGGTTACTGTTCGCTTCTCTCTCAGAGGAGATGAATGGGATCTGACAGAATCTCTTCATCGAAACAGGCCGCTGTAGCAGGGGTTGGACGTGGCTCGCGTTACTGTGTTGAGGGATTTCAGTGTCTCCCTAACACTACTTACTAGTCTACCTGCAGAGCGCACTCGGCACCCGCTCACCAGCACATACACTCCACACACACACACACACACACACTCACACACTCCACACTCACACACACTCTCACACACATTCACACACACACACATTCACACACACACACGCTCACACTCACACACACACACATACAACACACACCACACGCACACACTCTCACACACACACTCATGCTCACCCACACAATTGCCCTCTCACTCCCTCACTCGTCACTTTCAGCCACGATGAAGCAGTGGGTTTTTTCAAATATTATTTTAGTTTATTTGTAAAAAGTGCATGTCATAAGGTTGAATATTGTATAAGATATTGAATACTTATGTTGGGTATGTTTTGCATAGAGGATCACTTATGCAACATAATTTATCATTCAAATAGAAGTACAATTAAAGAAATTATTTTGAAAATAAGGCTTGTACTACATGAAAAACAATGTCACACATACACACACACACACACACACACCCACTCACACACACTCACACGCACACTCACTCTCACACTCACACACACACTCACACACACTCACACTCACACTCACACACACTCACACTCACCCCCTTTATCAGTGGACGCCCCACACAGACCCTCAGGTCCCCGCAGGGCTCTGGGCACTCAGCATTCAGACCCCACCTTCATCTTTTCTGGAACGTCAGAGGCTATGAGCTTCGCACCTGGTGAGAGGGCGGGTGGGCTGGAGTGGAAAGAGGAAAACGGGAACTCGACAAGGCCGCAGGGTCTCAGGTGGGTGGTCGGAGACGAGCCCTCCCCTGCTGCATCCCCTGAAGAAACCCTAGGGAGCCGGCCACCGTGTCGATGGTCATGGCCACAGACCATGTCCATGGCTGACCACCCTCAGGCTGACCCTTCAGTTCCCCGGGCGCTGTGTATCTCTGCATAACTGTTCCTACGTCCAGGGCACTGACCCATCCGATTCTATCAGAACAGCAGGGTGAGCCCGGCTGGCGTGGCTCAGTGGTCGAGCCTCGACCTATGAACCAGGAGGCCACCGTTCGATGCCCTGCTAGAGCACACGCCCGAGTTGCGGGCTTGATCCCCAGTGTGGGGCGTCAGGAGGCAGCCGATCCGTGACTCTCTCATCATGGATGTTTCTCTCTCTCTCTTCCTCTCGGAAATCAATAAAAAAATTAAAAAACACAAACGGCGGGTGAGTGACCTTCTCCCTCTTCTCCCGCCTGTGCCCCGCGGCCTGGCCGCTGCTGCTCGCAGAACTTCCTCCGCTGCCAGAACAACAAGACCAACTACAACCTGGTGTGCGAGACGCTGCAGTTCCTGGACTGCATCTGCGGCAGCACCACGGGCGGCCTGGGGCTGCTCGGCCTCTACATCAACGAGAGGAACGTGGCGCTCATCAACCAGACGCTGGAGAG